TATTAGATTACACTGATATCGAAGGAACTATAGACTCAGTTCCGAAATATCGCTTACTCGAACCGTCCTGACCGCGTAGCTCAGTTGGAAGAGCATTGGGCTGGTATTCCAAAGGTCGTAGGTTCGAATCCCGCCGTGGCCAGGCATATTTTTCAAGCCTGCCCGGTGTGGATATACACTCAGAGTAACATCACACAAACATCTTATTCACCTGAGCACATTACACCAACACAGCAGATTACATGATTATTAGATTACACTGATATCGAAGGAACTAGACTCAGTTCCGAAATATCGCATACTCGAACCGTCCTGACCGCGTAGCTCAGTTGGAAGAGCATTGGGCTAGTATTCAAAAGGTCGTAGGTTCGAATCCCGCCGTGGCCAGGCATATTTTTCAAGCCTGCCCGGTGTGGTTATACACTCAGAGTAACATCACACAAACATCTTATTCACCTGAGTACATTTCACCAACACAGCAGATTTCATGATTATTAGATTACACTGATATCGAAGGAACTAGACTCAGTTCCGAAATATCGCATACTCGAACCGTCCTGACCGCGCAGCTCAGTTGGAAGAGCATTGGGCTAGTATTCCAAAGGTCGTAGGTTCGAATCCCGCCGTGGCCAGGCATATTTTTCAAGCCTGCCCGGTGTGGATATACACTCAGAGTAACATCACACAAACATCTTGTTCACCTGAGTACATTACACCAACACAGCAGATTTCATAAATATTAGATTACACTGATATCGAAGGAACTAGACTCAGTTCCGAAATATCGCTTCCTCGAACTGTCCTGACCGCGTAGCTCAGTTGGAAGAGCATTGGGCTAGTATTCCAAAGGTCGTAGGTTCGAATCCCGCCGTGGCCAGGCATATTTTTCAAGCCTGCCCGGTGTGGATATACACTCAGAGTAACATCACAAAAACATCTTATTCACCTGAGTACATTACACCAACACAGCAGATTTCATGATTATTAGATTACACTGATATCGAAGGAACTAGACTCAGTTCCGAAATATCGCATACTCGAACAGTCCTGACCGCGTAGCTCAGTTGGAAGAGCATTGGGCTAGTATTCCAAAGGTCGTAGGTTCGAATCCCGCCGTGGCCAGGCATATTTTTCAAGCCTGCCCAGTGTGGATACACACTCAGAGTAACATCACACAAACATCTTATTCACCTGAGTACATTACACCAACACAGCAGATTTCAGGTTACAAAGATTTGTGATCGTGGGCTCGGCGCTCCGTAAAATTGTTTAAAATTTTGCATTAAAACTTAAACGTTAAAACTCGACTTCTTTGGAAAGTAGTGGCTAAAGATACTGTCTTGGGTATTATCAAGTTGCGTACGATTTTGATTATTTAAATCAAGGAAAAAGCGTCAAATTAAATATTGTGGTTTTTGCATCTGAATTCAAGTTAATTGAAACAGTTGGAGTCGCAAGTTTTGTCTCGCACAAGCAAACGAACACACGTCCTTGCTTGCGCAATAACGGCCAGCAATTAGAAAAATGTCAATTAATTTGGAATTTAATAAGAACAAATATTCATTAATTTTCGCGTGTAAATCGTTTTCATCACGTTTAAATTTCGGTGAAATGGTTGTTTTCAAATGTAAACTCGAGTGGCGGCGGTTCATTGGAGTTATCATGTGGATGTTCATGTTTTTCATACAGGACGACTCTGAACCAAAACTTTTTCCACATCCTTCAAATGAGCAGTAGATATGTTGAACCTCTTTGGACGGTATCTTCTGGTGGCGATGAAACATGCTTTGATGTCTATCCATCTCAGTCTTCGATTTAAAAGAAAAAGATGGACAAATTGGACAACTTCCAAGTGCCTTTTCTTCCGCATTTGGTTGTCCTGCATCACCGAAGCGCTTACTTGTATTCATGGTTTCCTGGAGGAATGTGTTGTAACAACCCTTGTACACAGAACTTTGGGATGGGAGCCTCATTGCCTCTCCCAAGAAATCTTTGGCTGCTTGAGATCGAAATTCACCACAGCAAGATTTGTCACTGCGCATTTAATAAATATTATTTCATTCAAGTGGTGATCTATGTGACATCATAGCATTCCTTTCATTTCCTTAACAATATCTCTGTACTCGTGAAGAGACCTCAAAGGGCACTTAAGGCACGTCCGGACTCTGTCATAGTCATCGTAAATTGTCTTCATTTACCATAACTGGTTGAACGTTAACTGGAAAAGCATCAAAGGTGAGATCATACCATTGCTGACTAGCCATTGCATTCATTGCTCGATCAAAGATAACTTTTTCTTTTTGTTTACGGACTTCTTCATCTAAACCACTTTGTAATGCAGGGGCGGCGGTATCTTCATCCACAAGC